ATATCTTTTCACATCTATCGATTAATCCATCTCAGTCACTTCATATGTTCTTTTCTTTCTTTTTATCTATCTATCTATCTATCTATCTATCTATCTATCTATCTATCTATCTATCTATCTATCTATCCCTCTCTCTCCCTCTCTCTCTCTATCTCTCTTTCTCTCTCTCTCTATATATATATGTATATTCGAAAATTATAACATAAAAATAGCCGTTTTGTTTCAACTCTTCTGGTGTTTACATCTATCTATCTATCTATCTTTTCACATCTATCTATCTATCTATCTATCTATCAATCTATCTATGTTCTGCCACTGATTTTCACATCTATCTATCTAGATATCTAGATATCTTTTCACATACATCTATCATTTCACATCTATCTACCTACCTATCTTCATAGATATCTTTTCACCTCTATATCTCTATCTATCTATCTATCTATCTATCTATCTATCTATCTATCTATCTATCTATCTATCTTTTCACATCTATCGATTAATCTATCTCAGTCACTTCATATGTTCCTTTCTTTCTTTTTCTATCTATCTATTCCTCTCTCTCTCTCTTTCTCTCTCTCTATATATATATATATATATATATATATATATATATATATATATATATATATATATATATATATATATATATATATATATTTTATTGAAAATTATAACATAAAAAATAGCCGTTTTGTTTCAACTCGTCTGGTGTTTACATCTATCTCCATATCTATCTATCTATCTATCTATCTATCTATCTATCTATCTATCTATCTATCTATCTATCTAATTCACTTCATATGTTCTTTTCTTTCTTTTTATATCTATCTATCTATCTATCTATCTATCTATCTATCTATCTATCTATCTATCTATCTATCTATCTATATATTCGAAAATTATAACATAAATATGATATAAAATCACTAGAAATATAGCCGTTTTGTTTCAACGCTTCTGGTGTCTTATCAAGTGACGGTGTTCAATATACAATGAAAATTTTTAAAAGTTTCAAATCAAGCAAACTCTCCTCGATAGAGGAAATGCTGTAACATAAGCTACAAACATTTTTAAAACGCTTTATACTCCAATCAACACCACCACTTGATAAAACACCAGAAATGTTGAAAAAATGGGTATTTTTGTCGAGCTTTTATGACATATGTATGTTATAATTTTCCAATAAATAATTGTATTTTCTCTGCTCTGTATTGAGCACTCTTTTAAGAATAGTATTTGTTGCTTATTGAATTTATTCCGTATACACCAATCCTATACGTGTATATATATATATATATATATATATATATATATATATATATATATATATATGTGTGTGTGTGTGTGTGTGTGTATAGAGAGAGGGGAGAGAGAGAGAGAGAGAGACAACAGACAGGCCGACAGACATAGATAGATAGATAGATATAAAAGGAAATATTCACATAGATAGAGATAGATATGTTTAAATGACTGCAATATATATATATATATATATATATATATATATATATATATATATATATATATATATATATATATATATATATTGCAGTCTCTTAAACGTATCTATCTACTGCGGTCTATCTATCTATCTATATCTCTTTATATATATATATATACGTATATATGTATGTATGTATGTATGTAAATGTATTTCTGGCTATTTCATTTTTCACCTTTTATCTCTATAACTTTTAACGCACAAAATAAATCACCACTCCTGTTATATTGAGCTTTTGCCTACCGATGTCGAGCATCCAACTAGAGAGACGTCTATCCTTCAATCTACGCACACCCTTGGGTCTTATAAAATTGGACGTATTTTTCGGAATCATCCACAGATATCGGTAAAATATGAAGGGATAATCGGCTGGGGAATGCTCCATAGATTGGAACAGGGCGTTCATCATAAAGCTCGATTTACTGAGTGATCCGACTATCGCACGTCAGGAACTGATTTTTGGTCTGCTCCGATAATGTGCCATCGAGATTAATTTAAGGCCATTAAGAAAGATGCGAAGAGATACAATGGCGTTAGATAGATAGGCGGGGAAGATATGTGGAAGGTTTGCATATGGCAGAGGAGAGGGCTATGATGAAGATGCAAATGAAAATAAAATAAAGAAAGGAAAAGGGGCTTGGATTAAAAACATGATTGGGAAAATTTAATGACAGAGAGAGGACGAGTGAAAATAAAGCCTGGAATTATAACGGCATTCGAAGTTTAAAAAAAAGAGTGCGACACGTGCAGAATGTAGGAAGAAATAAAGATCGGCGTTGTTAGGTTTAATATCATTACGACATCTTAACAGGTTCCATTAGGAAAACCATCATTGTTCTCTGATGTACAAAAAAAGCATGCATTACAACTTTACAAAGAAAATTTTATTTTATATAGATAATTGCATGAAGGGAAGCTATATTTGAACATCGGTCTAAATGTTGATTGAAACAGAAATCAGTTTATGAAAAGGTTTGTATTATCTTACCATCTTTGGACACCTCGTGGCGGGAAAATGGTGAGCAAGCTTGTCTTGCTGGAACAATTACGACTGAGTAGCGAGTTCTTACTAACCTTTCATACTACACCCACCATAATACCTCATTGTCTCTATGGAAATCCTAAATAGTTCTCATATGTACAAATCGTCGTATGTTCGGGGTGGAGAATTTAAACAACAAATTATAAAATCCCCAGTAAGAATAAGAATATAATCTATTTACAATAAAATAAAAAAAAATCATGTTATTAATAAGAATAAAAAAACACACACAATAATTAAATGTGGCTGAAACATCAGTTAGCTGGACGAAATCAATGCGGAACTATAAAGATATATATAAAAAAAACATTCATTCATCCCTAGCACTCACACAGACTTGCTCTCATCCAGACACGACAACAAAAACGAAAAACACACAGGCAAAAAAAAAAACAAAAAAAAACGAAAAGTGCCCCGCATCCACCAGAGAACTGACATCACAGATCATCTAACGAGGGAGGGGATAGGAAATTTAAACTAAAGAAAAAACAAAAAACGAAAATTCATGCATTACAACTTTACAAAGAAAATTTTTTTTTATAAAGTTAATTGCATGAATGGAAGATATATTTGAACATCGGTCTAAATATTGATTGAAATAGAATCCAGTTTATGAAAAGGTTTGTAATATCTTACTATCGTTGGGAACTTCGTTGCGAGAAAATGGTTAGCAAGCTTGTCTTGCAGGAACAATTGCGACTGAGTAGTAAGTTCGATCCTTACAGGGTGCCCCATACATTCTACGGCTGAATAACGATTTTGATCCCCACTTGCTGCCCCATACTTTTGGCCTTGTGACACATCTAATCTTCGACGTGGTGCAATGGTTAGCTAGCTTGTCTCACAATTACGGTTGAATAGGGAGTTCGATCTCTACTGTGTGCGCCGTACTTTCGGCCTTGTGCCACGTCTAAGCTACGCTTAGAAAATCATTTGGGTACCTCGACGTGGTGTAATGGTTAGTAAGCTTGTCTCGATAGTTCCCGACTGAGTAGTGAGTTTTATTCTCACTGGGTACCCCATACATTCTACGGCTGAATAACGATTTTGATCCTCACTTGCTGCCCCATACTTTTGGCCTTGTGCCACATCTAAGCTTCGACGTAGTGTAATGGTTAGCTAGCTTGTCTCGCTAGATCAATTACGGCTGAATAGCGAGTTCGATCTCTACTGTGTGCGCCGTACTTTCGGCCTTGTGCCACGTCTAAGCTACGCTTAGAAAATCATTTGGGTACCTCGACGTGGTGTAATGGTTAGCAAGCTTGTCTCGATAGTTCACGACTGAGTAGTGAATTCGATCCTCACTGGGTGCCCCATAATTTCGGTCTTGTGCCACATCTAAGCAGGGCTTAGAAAATCACTATTTTACCAATTGAATCAGCTAACCAACTGTACATGTTTTTAAGCATTTCACCCCAAGCCAGGCTAAAGTAACACTAGCAGGCAAAGGGTTACAGAGAGAGAGAGAGAGAGAGAGAGAGAGAGAGAGAAAGAGTAAGAATGAAGAAGATTAGGGATTTGTTTAGGCAGATTTACCCAGCGGCTTTGGAAAAAAATTATATTTTGGGGTAGCTAAGTAACATTATTACTGGAATGACCATAAAAAGTAATTATTTAATAAAGCATTCAAGCAAAATTGAGCCTGATCAGTGCTTTGTTATTTGACCGTTGGGATATGCTTACTGTTTGCTACGTGACAGACCTAGCAAGCCGGCAATTAGATTCAATCTTATTACGATATACATTTCTATTAAAAATACAGAAAATGTAGCACAAGGCCTAAAAAACTGCATTGAGAAATGGACGGTCTTCATCTGACTTAATTTTAAACTTAGCTAGACGCAAGCACTGACCCAAGCATACAAACAATATTACTAACATCAAAACAACACATTCTTACTAGCCTTTCATACTACACCCACCATAATACCTCATTGTCTCAATGAAAATCCTAAATAGTTCCATATTTACAAATCGTCGTATGAGCGGGTGGGAGATAAAGCAACAAATTAAAAAAAAATCCCCAATGAGTATATACAATAAGAATATAATCTATTTACAATCAAATAAACAAAATCATGTTAGTAATAAAAAAAAACCACAATCATTAAATGTGGCAGAAACATCAGTTAACTGGACGAAATCAATGCGGGACTATAAAAAATATTTTTAAAAAATCATTCATTCATCCCTAGCACTCACACAGACATGCTCTCATCCAGACGCGAAAACAAAAACGAAAAACACAATGGCTAAAAAAAAAAATGTAAAGTGTCCCGCATCCACCAGAGAACTGACATCGCAGATCATCTAACGATGGAGGGGGAAGGGAATTTAAACTAAAGAAAAAAAAAACAAAAATACATGCATTACAACTTTAAAAGAAAATTTTATTTTATAAAGATAATTGCATGAATGGAATATATATTAGAACATCGGTCTAAATGTTATTGT